GTCGGAAACGTTCTGTGTGCGTTTATACATATTTGTTTTGATTACTTTTGATAGTTTGAATTTAAAAGCAGTGCTTGTGAACAGTGGGGAATCAATTTTATGCTCCCGTTTCAGTGGCGTTTGTGCAAGTCATTTGGTGTAGTTTGTGGTGTTCTAACCTCAACAGCAACGCTGCAGTGAGCGTAAGTACTGGCTGTTCTTCACGAGAGGAACAAAGTGTGAATTCGCGTTCATTATCTCAGTTATACAAACGCATTCGTTTATTTGTATCAGGTGACAGCCTTTTTAGCCCAATTCTATCTTCGATTGCTCTATCATAGCCAGGTTGTTCTTGATGGAGTCAAACCAGTCATACTTAATTGATGTCTGACTGAACTCATCATTCATTAATCTTAACCATCGTGATATTACCTCTGGTTTTCAAAATGTCACTTAGTAGGCTCACGTATTGTTGTAGAGTGCATTGCTGTCAACATTCTGCATCGGTAAAGCCTCTGCATTTGAAGATAAGTGAATCGTGTTGGACTGGTAATTATCAGAAATTCTTGAGCAGGTCAAGAATAATGCAAGATTCGTATGCAGTTTTCTTATCACTGCTGTATCCATTCAAACTCACATGCTGGTTCCTGGGAGCAATGCCGTTGTCTGTTGATAACAACATGGGCCATTGAGTCATGGTGGCACGCGTTTGCCTCGTATCACTTGTTCTTGGTACTGTAGTGGACAGGATGAAATAAACAAATGCAGAGTTCAGAGAACTTATTTCAAATTTTTTATCAGTTTCTCACATTTTAATGTGATAATATTGTTTGCGTGGGGAATGACCCCCCCCCCCCCCCCAAATCCAGCCGACTCTGCACGGTTTATCTTCACTGTCAATGTCGTTGATGGTCCTTCCTCCTCCCTGCTTGCCAATATATCGGAATGTTTTCAATGTTGACATCTTAGGCGTTGCAGCAATTTTCAGGCCCACTAGTCAGCAGCGCAGGGCGCCCGGCCAGGTCCTCGTTGTCTCTCTCGCTCTGACGGAGAGGTAGTATGCGCGCACCTCACCTTGCAGCAGCGCTCCATGGCTCGTGTCGTCATAAAAAACGCACCCCACAGTACCGAGGTCCCACCGGCGCGGGGTGGAAACAAAAAAAAGCCGGGGCCTGTTTTAAGAATAGATTACCCGCCCTGAGGAGAGGGCCCCGTAATGATGTCGTAAGACTTGCATCAGCCACTTCGCCACTTTTGATTCCGGCCGACGGGGAGAGAGGGGAGGGAGGGGCGGTGGGCGGTGGGTTCTCATAACGCCGGCTGAAGTCGTCTTGCTTGTCGTCTTGTGCCTGTGCCGCGGGCGTGTCGGGGGCTACGAACACCGCAGTGTCGCGGGTTGGCCTACCCAGGAGCTCCACGGCGCCTAACGGGAGGGAGCGGGTGGCCAGACCCGCGCGTTGCGGTGTCGCAGTCCCTGTCGCGCGGTGGTACAGGTATTCAAGTCATGGTTATCCAGCCGAATCAAATTGCCCTCTCCTCCCACTGCCCCCCCCCCCAGCGCGCCCTGCCCTTGTCGCAGCTAAGGCCACTGTCACTGGAGTGTCATTGACGGCAACCTCATTGGCGAAGGTTTGGTCAGAGATGGCGGTGGTTGACGGGGTCCTGGTGACGGCCGCGGGCCCCTCTGGCCGCACACCGACATTCATTCGGAGCAGTCGGGGGAAAAGTTGTCAATGCCTCGACAAGAATTAGCTTTCGGAGGAAACTTTGTCCTCGTGGACGGGCGAGCTCCGCCCGCGGCCCTGCCCCCCCCCCCCCCCCCCCCTCCCGTCTCCCCATGGTCCGGTAAGAGATTGTCGAGGAGGAGCGATTAGTAGCAAGGGGAGCGAGGGGCTCCACCATGTAGGGCAGGACGGACAGGGCAGTCCAGTCCCCGTCCGCTGGAGCCGCCTAACTAGAAATACCCCCAAACAAATTGCCTTTCATCCCAAACTTGCACCGAGAGCGCCTCTCGGAGTGGCGGGGCGCCGGGGTCGGGTTGAAGTTAAAGGGCAGCCGTGTCGCGGCGCGCGACGTCGGTCGTCCTCCTCCTGCGGTGCTCCCCGCCCCGGGCCCGCGAGGGGCAGCGCTGGCGAAAAAGGGTCCTTTCGCGCCTTTGCGAAGGATTCCCTGTTTTATTCCGAGCTTTTATCGTAATTGCGCGCCAACTATTTCGCGCTAACTGCCGTCGGGTTGGTCTCCTCCCCGCTCCCTTCCTCCGCCTCTCACCCCCTCCTCCCCCTTTTCTCTGTGTGCCGCTTCGCTTTGCAGTCCAGAGGTCCCTTTATTTCGTTCTTCCCGGAACAAAAGCCCAAGCTACGCGTGCGGTTACTATTGCCCCCTCGCGTTCACCCCCGGCCGCCCCCGCCTCTCCCCCGCCCCTCTCCCGTCGCCTCTCTCCCCCCGCCGCGGGTTCGCCAGCCGCCAGCGCCCCTTCCTCTAGGTCATGGGGCGCTCTAAAGCCTTGTGGTTCAATTAGGAAGGCCGCAATAAAAACGCGGGCCCACGCCGGCGGTATCTGGGACCCCATGACCCGGGCGCTTCGCCGGCTTGGCGGACCCTGTAGCGCGCACACAAATTCGACAGGCTCAATTCGAATTCCAGGACTTGGGTCACCATCAGGACGGACGACACCCCCTCCTCTCCCTTTCTCCCCTTTCCCCCCTTTCCCTTCCCCTTCCCCGCCCCTCACTTCTCCGCTGCCTCCTTTCCCTCGCCCCTTTCTATCCGGTCTTTGGATATGAGCTGGAATCCGGGTTGAGACCAGAGCCCGGAGGGTCGGGCGGTAGCCCGCGTGCGGGGCGGGGCGGGGCGGGGCGCCGCCGGCCCGGGCCGAAGGCTTGCAGGGAGGGGAGGCAAATTTAGAGTGTCCCCGTTTAATAATATGGCGCTCGGGCAGTAAAGCCACCCACACCAACAACACGCGCGAATTTTATGTTTTGCTGTCCGATTTTCATGGTCCCCTTTTCTTTTTTTTCTGCCCCGGCGACGCGCGCTGCGTCGTCGTGGGTTGCGTTTGGGGCGTTCTTGCCTCGCCCACGAGTGTTTCTGAGAGTGCCTCGCTATGTGGTCCGGTCGCACTTTCCGCACACCGTGCCTTCTTCGTCGGCATCTTGTAAGATGATCCAGGCAAATGGAAATTGGAATAACGATTTTCGGCGAGTCGACGCGGCAGCTTTGCCGCAACGTGGGATTACCCTCATTCTTTATTTCGGCGTCGCTTCAACCCTTTTCTCCTCCCCAAAGAAGTATGATAAAAAAAGTACCGTGGAGCAGCAGGGGATGTCGAAAAACACGGGCGACTTAAGTGCCCAAGAAAGCCGTGCAAAAATCTGCCCCATCTCTCAAGTTAATCATTAATCAGGCTTTTAATCGCGACTCGACCCTTCTCCCTCGGACGTCCCGGCCCGGGGGGCCCGGCCCTGCCCCTGCCCGGCCCTGCCCCTGCCCGGCCCTGGCTCTGCCGGAGGCCCCGCAGGCCGCCACCCTCGCTCAAATGAATTCCCTGAAAGCCCGTGTTGGCCGCGTCTAGACTTAAGCGAATGTATATTGTATTGCAGGGCGGGGATTTGTTGTGGAGAATGAAGCGGAAAGGATTGAGGCGCTGGTCGCTCCACGAAACGAATCTGCATCAAGAAGGGTTGGAAAATAGCAGGTGGTGTGTTGCGAGAATTCCAAGCCTCGTCGTTGGTCGTACGAGCTTCGAAATGTTTTCACCGAATCGTGGCTTCTTTTTTTCCCTCTCCTTTTTAACCTTCGTCGCTGATGAAATGAGCGGGCAAATTGAGCGAAGCCTCTCGAGGGTGTAACTCCATAGGGGTCTCGTGCTCTCCAAGGCTCGACTCGGCGCCGCCGTGGTCGGGCCGCGCAGGCCGCAGCGGCGCTCGGCGGGCTTCTGGAGGGGCTCGCTTTCATGTGAGGGCAGGGCCGCACCTCCCACCCATATCCAGCATGCAGATCAACTTAGGGAAAGGAGCGCGGCTTTTGAGGCGGCTGTTCTTTTGAGTCGCTCCTCCCCCCCTCCCCTCTCACTCTCTTTCTCTCTCTCTCTTTATCTCCACCACCCCTTTACTCTTCCGCCACCGGTTCAATCAGACTTCTGTCCCGGATGCGTATGGATGGATGGACCGAGTAAAGGCGCCCTGCTTGTATAACCTCCTGTTTACTTCACCCCAATCTCTTACCTCCAGAGTTATCCCCCGCC